GGGCTGCGGGAGGCCACGGCTGGGGCACACCTATAATTCATTTGTGGCACACAGGCCGCGCAGCTCTGCTTAACACACATCAAGGTAGCTATTAGAAAGTTTGCTAAACCTTCGAATATAATATTTATCTACCTATCTTTTAGGTACCATTTTATTTAAATGGGTGACACTGTGCTTAAACAAAGGCACGAAAACAGCAGTTCTTAAGGGCCCTGATGGCTACACTGTAGCAATATAAAGGAACGGTTCCTCTCACTCACTCTTACACCCCTTTCAGCACAGTTACATCAGACTCGGTGTTCAGGACCGAGACTGCCTCAGGCCTAAGAATGCAGTAAGGAATCCTCCTCTACACACTGCGTATTTAGGTTTACACGCGTCAAAGTGCCAAAATGTCACACAAGTTGGCCTGCAGGAACTGAATGACCACGAATTAAAAGAGTGTGCTGAAATACTGAAAGAGAAACATGTCTTCACTTTCAAACTTCCTAAGCTCGAAAAGGATTCATAACGTACAACACTGGAGACCCCATCTAGGTTGCCAAGCCACTCAAGAATTTACTACAAATAAAGAACATAGCCCAGTAGTAAAACTTAATTTTTTTCTTTTTGGGGAAGACAGGCCCTGAGCTCACATCCATGCCCATCTTCCTCTACTTTATATGTGGGACGTCTGCCACAGCATAGCTTGACAAGCGTTGCGTAGGTCTGCACCTGGGATCCAAACCAGTGAACCCCGTGCCGCTGAAGTGGCACTGTGCCACTGGGCTTGCACCAGTACAATTTAATTTTAGAGGTGGAAGGGATTTTTAATAGCAGTGGCTTAAAATTTCTATAAAACAGCGCGTTCAGAGTGACTGCCTGATTAGAAGTGGGAGCTGGGGGCACGTCTTCAGACTCCGTACGTAAAGCACAGGTGCGGTCTTCACTCAGACTGAGCTTTTGTTCGGGGGGAGCTTCCAGGGCCAATGAAGACTGAGCCGGCAGTGGTAAAGGACTCGCTGAAGCCATCCCTTTGTGTCATTCTGAGTCTCTGAAATTATCTAAATCTTCCAACATTAATAATGTAAATGATTAACTATTAAACTCTGGGTAGAAAGCAGATTAAATTTTCCACAAGCAGGATATAGCAGCAAGGTATGTGTTGTTTTCTGCCCCTCGCTTGTGTCACAAACTCTTGGAGAAGTTGATTCTCAGTGAATCCCACTGTTACCGCATGCACGTTTGCAAATGCCCCCATTCAGCCTCTTCTGTGCTTGGACGGCCATGGGTGTTGAAAAGAAAGGTTACACTTGCAAAATGAGAACTAAGCAGAAAAGTTTTTAACACAATTTGCACTACTGACGAAGTCTCAGAAGAGATTTCTTTAAATGTTGTTGTTACCATGAAGCAACACCACTTGTTCCTATGTAATCACAAAGAATTTGGGTCCTGACTGAAACAAAATTTCACACCATGACATGTATTGAAAAATTAAGCAAAATTACTTTTTAAAGTGCAACAAAGGTTGGAATAATTTATGTGTTGCTATGAATATCAAATTATTAGGAAATACTAACTGATAAAATATCTTAAATTAACTTGCACACAAAAAAGGCTTTGCCTCCAATGATAAATGGGGCAGTGGCGGATAAGACTGATTCACTTGAGAGGTGCAGGAAACACAGGCATCTCAAATAGATTTGCCTTTAAATAAACACGAGGTCACTAGGAAGAGAATGATAAAGATAAATCTGAGATTGATGAATCAATGTAGGTATCTAAATCAGTTTTTGATGATGCTATTTTTAATACATCTGGTATAAATATATCTAAAACATGCATTCTCTTATCTTTGGCAGTTTTATTCACATTTTAGGTGACCTCCCAGAGCTAACCCAATGCATTTCTCCATCTAGATTTCACTTCAACACTAGAAAGGCAGAATGGTATAACGAAGAGAACATTAGACCTGGAGCTAGGATTTACAGGTTCTAATATCTTGATTATGTCACCAACTTAGTCCACTACTTAGAATAAGTTACTTACGAGGCCTGTCGGCTTCAAGGATCTCATGTGTAAACTACGGTTCAGCTCTAAATTTCCATGATCCCACCTAAAGTATCTTATTCCATTATGCATAATCCTGTGCACTCTGGATAGAGGTAAGACTTGTATAAATTCTGAACATTTGCCTTTTCACATTACATGTATTTTTTTTGCTGTAAATTCATATGGTTTCTGTACTATGCTATACATTTACTTAGAATTTTAAGTTAAGGTTATATTTTAAAAAAATCCAAGCATACAGAGCAGAGACCATTTAATTGTCTAGCAAAGTTAGTGGTCTATGCATATGGTAACTACATGACTAGTACTCATATATAAAGTAAATATTTTATATGGCAGTTTAATAAATTTAGTCTAGGGGCCGGCCCCGTGGCTGAGTGGTTAAGTTCATGCGCTCTGCTTTGGTGGCCCAGGGTTTCCCGGTTTGGATCCTGGGCACGAACATGGCACTGCTCATCAGGCCATGCTGAGGCAGCATCCCACACAACACAACCAGCAGGACCACAACTACAATATACAGCTATGTACTGGGGGGTTTTGGGGAGAAAAAGAGGAAGAAGGAAGGGAAAAAAAAAGATTGGCATCAGATGTTAGCTCAGGTGTCAATCTTAAAAATAAGTAAATAAATAAATTTAGTCTAATTCCATCAGAAAGGACAGGCCAACAAAACTCATTAAATGAACTTTAATGTCCAAATATGTTGAGTCATTTACTGAGAAATGATTAACAGAGAACAGTGACCAAGACCATCCCAATTACATCACTACATCATTAAGGGACCAACGCTGACAATCAAATGATCATTGCTTTCTTTAGACTGCTAATCCTATCTTCCAGTTTTAAGCATTTTGCTGTGTTATCAAGTACTTCAAAATTATTCTCATTTCCTTAAACCCAGGAAATCCTCCCCTTTCTCCCTACAAATAGGATTCATAAAATACAAAGTGAGGGGCTGACCCAGTGGCATAGTGGTTACATTCACACACTCCACTTCGGCGGCCTGGGGTTTCTGGGTTCAGATCCTGGGCGTGGACCTACACACTGCTCATCAAGCCGTGCTCTGGAGGCATCCCACACACAGAAAATAGAGGAAGACTGGCACAGACGTTAGCTCAGCGACAATCTTCTCAAGCAAAAAGAGGAATACTAGCACAGATGTTAGCTCAGTGACAATCTTTCTCAAGCAAAAAGAGGAAGAGTGGCAACAGATGTTAGCTCAGGTCCAATCTTGCTCACCAAAATATATATACATATGTATCCATATATAAAGTGGGAGTGGAAGGAGTACACTCAGAGAAGAGCTAACTATTTATAAGTAAATTTGAAAATGCCATATAACTTATAAGTTTTGTCACGCCATATAACTAATTTCTTTAAAAAGTCTCTAGATTCAAGACATTTAAACATTATAGTCTTCTTTGGCCACACAGACATCAGACACAGGGATGCTGAATTCTGCCACACTCCTGGTCATAAAAACCTTCAGGCTAAACATACTGTTGATTTGCAGGCGTCTCTGGTCCGCTCTGGCACTTAGCAGATCTCATCCTCATCTAGATGTTTTATAGTTGGATCGTTCACTTGTCCTAAATATAGTACTTTACAGCTTCTTCTAAATTTTAATAAATAACAGTATGCTATACAAACATACACACTGTATTTCACTGTCATCATGTAAAGTAACGCTTTGAGAGATAGGTACTCCTTATGGTCATTTATAACATAAAGGTACATGATAGGAACATCCTGAAATAACCTAGACAAATGCTTAAATAATTAGATAACTTAAGAATCTCAGGTGCTTAAAAAGGAGTGAGATGGGAGTGAGGGGATAACTGTGATTCCTCTTGCATGCCACAAAAAAATGCGTAGATATACACCTCATTTAATACAAACAGAATTTCATAAAAGACTCATGTAATTTCCATTTCTACAAATCAAATAATATTTTTAATGAAGTAGTACTTGATAAATAAAGCAATTCTGCATCAAATTTTAATAGGTCAAGATTACTACATGATTTACTTTTTAAGAAAGTAATATTGTCACATTTAGAATTTGTTCAAAATGTGTCATGATACAAATTACCTTAATATGGCCAATCTAATTCAAAATAGTATCATGAGAATCACTATTACCTTTCACGAGCTACTCCAAGAGTCAGCCAACTATGGCCTGTGGGCGAAAGCTAGCCAACTGCCTGATTTTGTAAATCAAGTTTGACTGAAACACAGCCAGACACACTCGTTCACGTACCGTCTACGCTGCCTTCGCCCGACTGTCGTAGAGCTGAGGAGCTGCGAGAAACTGGATGGGCAGCAAAGCCCAAAAGATTGACTATCTGGCCTTTCCAGAAAGTTCATCAAGCCCTGAGCTATTCTGAGGGTCTCATCAGAAAGGAGCTTAGAGAAGTCAAGTCAGTATTACTGGTAAAACAAAACAGTGCTTTTTAAAATGGAAACTAAACAAATTACTATAAGGCTGTATTGGAATGCCTCAGGAATTTAACCCTGCCAAAACAAAAACAAGTATTTTCCTCCCAATAAATAATCTTATTTATTATGAAAGTTTCTTCATAATACAACATTGGATGTTACAATATAATACTGAAATTCATTTTAAAATGTTACCTGCAAAGTTACTTGACTTTTAATCAGGTGTCTAACATTACTCATGTCATTTACAGAAAAATGAGTCTCTTATTGGTAGACCACATTCGATCAGAGCAGTCAAGCAAAAATTACTTTTCACATCAAAAACTCAGACATAAAGGAACTACGTACATATCAGCGAATGAAATTTCCTGTCCAGTGCAGTGAACTACATTCTTAAACAGAGAGCTTTTTTCCCCAATGAAATCTGCTTTTCTCCAAACTGTGTAACTTTGTAATTACTTTATGTTTGTCCCCATAGACTCTGCAAAAGCAAATTCTGACTCCTTTTCCTTTTACCTTGAGATCACGGTACACAATCTTCCCGGAGTGCAGATAGTCCAAGGCAGAGACGATTTCTGCACCATAGAAACGCGTGCGGTCCTCAGAGAACACCCGCTCTCTCGACAAATGGAAAAACAGCTGCAGGGTAAACAGCAGGGACAGGGCTGTAATAATTACTGATTTAGTGGGGGAAATTAACACAAACATAAAACACCTCTCCTCACCATATTGTGACGGTAGATAGCGTACTCTCAGTGGACACTGAGCACTCCTAGACAGCAGCTGGCTTAGCTTTTCCAGGTTTCCAAGGGGAGACTGCGGGCTGTTACATCAGCGTTTTAATCAATATCCCAATCTTGTTTAAGGCATTCTGCTTGCCACCCATTTAACCTTCAGTTACCAGAGGAAAAGGCAGGCATCATCAGACTGCATTTCGCCTCACGATGCTGTTGCCTCACTCTTTCAAGGATTAGGTACTGAGACATTATTACAATAAGTGAGCACAAGGATAGATGGAGTATGTCTACTTACTCATTTGATTTCAAAGAAAGGACTGCTGATTGGCTCAAACTGATTTATGTGAACTTGTTATATTCTACAACTGTTGATTCACCACGATCTCTCCAGAAACGTTTTCAAAGTCTGAATCAGTTTTCTGTGGTGAGAAACTGCGAGGCTTTAAGTTTCTAATTTATTTTAGTAATGCCCAAAACGGACTGAGAAGCTCCCATTATTCCGCTTACAGTTTTCAATGTATATTCTTCCTGTTTCAAAAATTAACTACGCCACCGATCTTTTCTCACATAATCACTTAAAACTATAAGCCCATCCATTTCCTGTTAATCACACAAAAGATATACCACTCAGTCAACAAATATTTATTGGTGCTCCCTGTGGCCAAGCATCCAGCTCTCCTTTTAGGCCAGCTCTTTATGCAACAAACCGCCCACCGCACCTCTCAGTTCCCCGATGTATGAGAGGAAGGAGCAGGTTTCAGGCACTGTGAGTTGACTATGGACCTTTGCTGTACGATTTCACTGCATGAAGGACTCTGCTAAGAACAATGAAAGACAGCTAACAGAGCTGAGCACACAGCTGAGCAGCAGGGTAGGTACTTATGCATGTCTGTGATTAAAGACATGAACCACAGTCAATGCATCCTCGAATTCAAGGTCAGAAATTAACTATACCGTCACAAGAATCACTGACTCTTACTGTTTCTGCAAAGTTATAAGAATTACAGTTAAGTAAGACTTGCTCCTCACACACAAATCATAATTCAGGTAACATAAAAGAGGTTCCTACGGATTCCTCCTCTGCTCCACCTCCACCTCCACTTCAGAGCCTAGCATCGTTTTCAGAGCAGCTTTACGCATAACCATTGTCGTAGTCAAGAGAGGGAGGTAATATCATGTAATTATTGACAAAAAAAGACTGGCTCAACATTAGTTATAGTAAAATTAAAATATGTGGCAGATAGTCTCTAAATTTTAATTCTCTACTATATTGTCAAATTTTATCAAATCAAAGATGCCATTGCTTGGGACTCCATCATCATTTTATGTTAACAGCAAGAAAGAAAGAAAAAAAATGTTGTCAACTAAAACTATCATACACCATCAAATACAAAAGGTATTCTAATTGCAGAAATGTTAAATGTGTCTTAAAAATGATCAAATATAGTATGCCAAAAATCAAAATAATGTATACAATTACTCAGAGACATTTTTCAAAATTCATTCATTCTACATAGGCAGATATATATTATTAATGCATTATCATTCAAATGAGGACAAGAAGTAGAAAGAAGCATGGAACATCTGTAAAATCATTCTGAAAAGTTTCCAGGTCAAAATAATTTCTGCCATGCTTTATACAAAATATCACTAGCTTTGATGGAGGAATCCCTGTGACCTCTATGTAGATCTATGGTAGTTTTCTAATGGGAGGAAAATCGTAGGTAGATTTCTAAATTTTCTTAAAATAATGTCACACCTACTACCCACTCATCCACTGTACAAAAGATATAGATCCTCTCTAAGTCAGTGTAATACATGTGGGCTTCTACATCTTTATTTACACCATCTATCTTCAACTTGTCTCCCAGCCAATTTATATAAAAATATCAGCTAAAAAAAATACTTAAGGAGAAGAATCCTATTTATTTTTCAATCTGCTGTCCTCTGATGTCTACCCTTGCCACTTTAAAGAATTTGTTCTTGTTAAGATAACCCAAGAACCTCTTAATTGCCAAATCCAACAATCTATTTACAATCTATACCCTTTCTTTCCGTTCTGGAGCTCAGAACATCATCTACTGCTCTCTCCTTCTTGAAAACATTCCTTGGCTTTGGTAATACAACTCTCTCCTGATTTTCAACCTCAGTCTTTGGATATTCCTTCTCAGTTTGCACCAATTTTCAATTTCGTGAGCATCAATTATTTTAAAGTCACCGTGTTGGGCACTGGGAAGAAAAAAGAGAGCATAAAATGATGATTAAGACATAGTCCCTGATCTTAAGAAATTCAACCCAGTGAAGGAAACATAAGCATAGATTAAAGAAAAGCAAGCTAGTTGTGATAAATTCTGAAACTCCAGTATTAAAAATGCTTTGAAGAGTGATTAATCTTCATTGGGATGATCTGAGGAGACTCTACAGATAAGGTATTATCTCACGTTCTGAAGGATGGGATTGTCCACAAATGGAGAATACAAAGGAAGCTGACAAAAGATTGCTATGTACGTTTTACCTATCTTTATATTACTAATACAGCATAGTATATTACCCACATATAGTAGGTAATAACAAATGTTTGTTATTTGTTATTGAAATTTGTTATTTGTTATTGAAAGAATTAATTCTAAAAAGAAAAACCCGCCATGGCAAGGAAACACATGCAGGGAATATGCGTAGCTGAAAAATAGTACATTCAGGGCAAAGACGAGGCCAGACTGTTTTGAACCTTGACTGCCATGATATGAGTTTGCAATTTATTCTGTATACAGATAGTGAAAGAGTTTTGGGTAAAAAAATTAGCATAATTTTAAAAACAACTCTAGCAGCAATTGGAGAATCAATTAAAAAGATCTGAGACTACAGCCAGGTAAACAATTCATAAAGTACAACCAAAAAAGTTACTGAGCACCTATCTAGCACAACTCTTGTGAAAAGCTGCAGACACAATGAGAAATGACACCGATCTAAAAGGATATTATTTAAACAATTCTCCTAAAAATATGGTAGTTATCAAATAGAGAGCACAAATAAAGAAGTGAACAAATACGTCTGGGAATATCAGAAGTTACATTCAAGCTAGATAAGAACTTCTGAGGGACCGCAGCTAGAGTGGTAGTCACAGACATTTCAAGAGCGTCAACATTCCAGAGGGCACTAGCCATTTGGGTCAAGGGAAACAAAAAGTATGTTGAGGTTTCCCTATCGAGGCTGAGCTGCTGCCAGCAGTATAGAGGAAAAGAATGGGGATGGGGACAGAGGAGCAATGGATTTTATTGTGACTGATGTCATTTAAATAAGCACTTGATAGCAAAGATTTGGAGCTATGGGATCCAAGGGTACAGAGGTAGATACGGGAGTAATTTATATAAGGGATATTGTTGAAACCAAGGAAGCACAGTATAGCTCAGGAATTCAGTAGGAACTGAAAATAGAGTTAAGGTCAGAATCTTAGGATGCCACTTACATAAGGACAGGAAGAAGAAACAGAACAGGATACTGAGGTGGAGCCCTAAGAGAAGTACAAAAGGAAAGAAGAATACAAGATCTGAAGAATGAAGGAAAAGAAAGTTTCAAGAAGGAAGTAATGTTTACCTGGCATAGGAATTAGGCCATTTGTTACCTTTCAGGAAAGAGATGTGATACCTACGTGAGCTAAGAAGAGAAGAGAAGTAAAGCTAGAAATGATGCGTGACTCCTTCAGAAAAAAATGAGTGAAATGAGCCAAGATACTGTTGAAACAGAAGGGTTTTGCTCAACATATTAAATAATGCTTTCAGGAAAACTTTTGCCCAAAGAAACTGAGAGATACTATAAAGCTATAATTCATAAGGAGTAGGCACACAAATTGAAAGAAAGATCAATGAATTGAGACAGCCAGAAACAGTTTATTTAATAAGAATTTAATAGATGATGGTAACGCATGACAAAGTATATGGGAAAAAAATAACTATAATAAATGGTACCACAATAATTCCTTAACTTTGGAGAAAAGTAAAATTCAGTTTTTATCTCACATCATAACAAAATAAATTTCACATGTAATTAATAGTTAAATATAAAATATGGAACTAATTTTTAGAAATACTAGAAAATATGAATCAATAGTTATTTGATCTCAGGATGAAGAAGGAGTTTCCAAGTAGAAAAGAAGTGGAACAAATCATAAAAGGAAAAACTCATAGAATTAACCACGTGGAATGGCAAAAATAAATAAAATTGAATATTTATAACAAATATGACAAAGTTCATATGCTTAATATATAAAGAAATCATATGAAAAATAAGAATACTAAACACAAAGGGAAAAAAGGGGAAAGGATAGAGACAATTAACATAAAAGGAATAAAAATGATTACAGTATATGAAAACATCATAATAATCAATGCAGTAGAGATAAAAACGAGACAATTTAACACATCAAGAAACAGTACAGTCAGTGAAAGCGTGGTGAGATAAATAACTTCATACTCTGCTGGCTAGTAAGTAAACAGATAGAAACTCTTTGCAGGACAACTGGCAATAGATGTCAAGATAATTTTTAAGGTACAGTAGTTCCTCTGCTAAAAATGTGCTTTAAAAAAAGGGAAATGTAGAAGTCGTCCATGCAAGGATATTCTCTGCAGCAGTGTATACAATGAAAAGAATGTGAAAACAGCCTTCCGATCATAACGAAAAATAAAATTAGATTTTCATCTAATATCATAACAAAATAAATTTCCACGTAACTAACAGTTATATATAAAATACGAAACTAACTAAAAAACTAGAAAATAAGAATAAAAAGTCCATGAGATTAGACTTACCCCCTTGTTCTAAACAACTAGACAGAAATACATGAAACAAAAAAAGAAAACTGGGAAAAACATACAATACAACTCTTTTTAGATACTGGGCAACAGG